AGCCATTTAATAGATGAGGAAACTGATGCCTAAAGATTTGAGAACTTGCCCAATCAGCAGAATAACAGTCAACACATTGGGCGGAAGCCCAACCTTTTGATTGAACAGGTACCGCCCTACTGCCTGGTAGCATACGCCCTGCCTCAGGGGACCCTGAGCATCCTGGCGGGTTTATGTCAAAGCCATCAGTCAGGCAAAAAGGACAAGTATGCATGAGCATGCTGGGGTCGGGAGGGTGGACAGCCAGGTGGGTGGTGTCTCTGGGCTTGGGGTGAAATTATAGCCTGGTGGCCTCCTCTTCCCCCACCTCCTTGGTTCTGAGGCTGCCAGAGAGAAGGGTGACAAACCGCCAGTGGCACTGACAGTGTACACCCCAGATGGCTGCCAGGCTCTGACTGGCGTTCGGGCCATCAGTTCCAGCAGTGCCAAAGGTTGTGCATGGACCTGGGAAGCTGAGAGAAGGGAGACAGAGGCCCGGGGTTACCCAACAGCTAACTGTGACCCCGGAAGGCTCAGCTTACACCGCTGCGTGTTTCTGCCTGGGAACGGGGAGAAGTCTGCTCTCCAGGCTGGGAGCTGTCACTCTTATTTGTGTGTATGTTTTGTTTGCTGCCAGGTGCCCTCGAGCCTGTAATGTGAGGAGGGTCTGGAAATGATTGCGGCTCCTCCCTGGCTGAGAAGACTGGGAAAGGAAATGGGGAGTGAGGCCCATTGACCCCGAGGCTGGAGAGCAAGCTCCCAGTGAGGAGTGAGCAGAGCTCGAGGCACCTGGGCCGGGGCCTTTCTCCTTCAGGTGTGTGTGTCAGGTGGGGTTCCGCCCGGAGTTTTTTGCTCTTGACATGGTCCGCTTGTCTCCAGAGGCCTAGGGAAGAATTTCTCTCTCTCAGATTGTGAGACCATCCTGGGGTGGGAATCTCACAGCAGTAAAATGTTAATTTTGTAAGTGGAAGCTTAGGGCGACAGGGTCAGCTGCATGGCATGAGCAAGTTTCCAAAATGCTCTGGGCCTCAGTCTCCACACCTGTAGAATGGGGATAAAACTAGGACCTACCTTTTAGGTTCCTTGTGTACAGAGATGAGGAATGCAAAGCACTCAACACCAGCTATGACCCATGCTAGGTACTTATTAAGTGTCATTGAGTGTTCAGAATTCTTATGGGCAGCAGAGGCTATTCAATTTCTTAGATGTGTCTTGGGGTCATAACATTAATCCAACTTTGCAGAAAACTACTGAGCCACGCTCCCAGACCCAACATAACCTCCGATATAAGCAGAGGTTTATTATTAAACTTTATCAACTCTTACTGAATTCCAGGCACAACGCAACAGTATTTGTTGCTTAAGATCTCAGTCAGTCCTTACTGTAACGCTATGAGACAAGCACTATTTTATCTTCATCATCCCCAGTGCTATGGGAGGAAGCCATGTGCTCAAGGTGCCACAGCCAGGATTGGCCAGCAGAGTGCCTGAGCCCCAAGTGACCTGCCTCTCCCAGCGGAGCTATGCAAACGTGAGTCACTCCTCACCTTGTCAAGTAGAGGGCTGAAGAAGATTCTAGAATGGTGGAAATTTTGTCCAAGGTCACCCTCTGATTTTGGTAGAAGTGCTAAATCCCTGCGGGGGTGGCTTAATGTTCCCCTTGGCCTGAAAGACAAAATGCACGAGTTTAACAGTGCTTGTGGCCACCTTGAAATCAACACAAGCACCAAATTCTGCTCCAAAATCCACAATTCAATGCAATGGAAGGAAAATGTATAGTCTCTGTACTGGGTTGAATAGTATCCCCTCAAAAAAGGTATCTTGACGCCCTAACCTCTAACAACCCTGGAGGTGACATTATTTGGAAACAGGGTCTTTTCAGATATAATCAAGTTAAGATGAGGTCCCACTGGGTCAGGGTGACCCTAATCCAATAATTGGCCTTAAAAGAAGAAGAAACTTGCACCAAGTCACTGACACACAGGGAAGAGCGTGTTAGGACAGAGGCAGAGGTTGGCGTGATGCAGTTAGGAGCCCAGGGAGGCCAAGGATTCGGCAAATGCCAGCAGCTAGAAAGGGCAGGTAGAGACTCTCACCTGATGCCATCAGAGGGAGCACGGCCCTGCCAGCACCTTGATTTTCGCTTCCAAGATTGTGAGCAAACAAATGCCTGTTGTTTTAAGCCACCCACTTTGTGGTCATTTGTTATAGCAGCCACCAGAAACTAATACAGTCTGCTAGAAGGGAAATTGTGGGGTCACCTTGGAAACTCTTTTATCTAAATGTGCTTGGGAGATGAGGAAACTGAGGCCCAGACTCATGCACTGTCAGTGAGCTTGGGGTAGGGCAGCTATCACACCATGGAGGGCCACTTCAGGGTGAGGACAGGTGGCACCTGGGTGTTTTCAAGTTCTCAAGGGACATACCTGGTGTTGTCACCCATACAATGAACCTTCACCCAGCATGGGGCTTAGGAGTTGCACGACACTGCACATCAGGCAAGCGTGCTGTGTCCTGTTGCCCTCAGCACAGCACACCCTCCCCGGGCAGAGGGAAGCCTGTGTAGAGCAGATTGCAAACATCAGGCAGGCCGTGCAGGCTCCATTCTTCATGCTGAGGGAGGGCCCTGGCTGGGGTGGGGTAATTTACATCGTGGTTAGATATTGGAAAGGTTTCCATATGAAAAGAGGCTGGGACAATGGCATTGACTTGGCTCTTTTCTCTCCTACCTTGAAAATATTGAATATTCCTGAAGACTCAGCTAACGATCCTGGAAGGAAGCATTAGACATTTTGAAGAGATTTCCAATGCACAGAAGACGGATGACATCAATAACCTTCTGAGGCCAGCTCCCGCCGCCCCCGCCCTGCCAGGAAGGGCTCCCGGCTGACTGTTCTGCCAGGGGGTCTAACTGGGAGCCAGGCAGCTGCTGGCAGACCACGATCCTACAACAACCCTCTAAAACCAGGCCCTCTGCCCATTTACGAAAATGCACTTGCAGCTCCAATTATCTGATTCCCCGGGAGGGATTTGCACATGCAGATAGTTGTCTCACTTGTTTTGCTTTGTAGGGGAAGGCACAACACCGGGCCTGTGCCAACACAGCGTCTACTTCCTGTCTTATTTATTTACTTATAATTATTCACCTGTGTGTTATTAAATATTTTTCGTACAGGTGCATAAGCTGTTCATTTGGAAAATTCACTAAGTAATTGAATCGTTGCCTTTTTAACGTTTTTATCAACTCTTCAAACTATTGTGAGTCATATTTTTCTTCAAAAAACTCAATTGAAATATAAAATTACCACTATTTTCCTCTAAATAAAGATTACAGTCAATTCAGGGATGGACCTTAAGATCAGAAACTATAATTCTGGGTTCAGATCCCTGCGTGAGATGTGCAATCAGATTACCTGCTCTGAGCGTGCGGAGCAACGGGGTGGTTCCTTCCTGGAGTGGAGAGAGTTTGAAGAGAGGAGGTGGGCGGTAACACTCGGATGGGCTCTACCCCTCTCTTTTCTAAGTTTTTCTGCTAAAAAAGAAAGAAACGACAGCTGCCCTTGCTTTCAATATGGGGAAATGCAGTGCTTCCCCTGCAGACAATGGCTGGGGGAACTTGCAGAAACACAGACACCACACAGATAGGATGCTGCTTTCCATAGCCCATTAGGGAAGGAGAATCAATCACCTTGACTGAACTGATTAGAATCTCCAGGAAAACAAGTATTTTAACTGGGTCTTCACCATTAATTGACTGGCTATTTGCCCAACTTGGGTTTTCTGGCCATGCACAGGTGGGTCAGCCTCTGAATCCCCTGGGGCAGTGGTCAGCAAACTCATTAGTCAACAGAGCCAAATATCAACAGTACAACGATTGAAATTTCTTTTGAGAGCCAAATTTGTTAAACTTAAACTATATAGGTAGGTACATTGTTATTAACTTAATTAGGGTACTCCTAAGGCTTAGGAAGAGCCACACTCAAGGGGCCAAAAAGCCGCATGTGGCTCAAGAGCCGCAGTTTGCCAACCACGGCCCTGGGGGAAAACATGAGGACATTTCCTACGAAGGCCCTGGGTTCTCCAGATCTCCCCACCCCGTGCTCCTCACTGCCCTCGCCGAGGGGCGACAACGTGGCAGGACCAGTCACTTTGGCTCCTTCCCTTCGAGTCCATGAAGAAGGTGCTTCAGGGAGAAACTGGGCCTTTGTGGCCCTGCAGACCCGAGGACAAACCAGCCTGTGTTCCCCCACCTCCCACATATGTGCTGGGGAAAAACAATGCCCACACCCCCAAAATATCACGGTCACCTACCTGAGTCCTACTCTGTAGCGCCCTGCCTTGGAGGCTACACGGTGCCCTTGAGTCAGGACCTGCACAAGCCTTTGCAAAGGCAGGTAGGAAGCCCTGAGGGCATTGAGGTGCCAGAGCAGAATGGAAAAAGCACCCACCACATGTCTCCCCAGTTGACAACACAGTCTTCACCAGCTGGGCTTCCTGTTTGGGGACCCCCGAACTCCCCTGGGAGCCCATTGTGCTGTGCTCTGCCCCCTCCTACTTCCCTGAAACCAGGCATCCCTCCAACCTCTGACATCACCCCCCCTCCCCTGTCCCAGAATTGCCTCTCCTCAGCCAAGAGCCTGAACCCCCGCTCCCTCCTCCCTGGGACGCCTCTAAATCCCTTCAGAGGCATCTCTTTCAGGAGCTTCTGAGAAGAGTGTCATCTCTCAATGGCTGGAGAATATATTAAAAATTCTTGATAACAATGCTTTACTCTTAAATACAAAACCAGCCCTTTCAAAGGCCCCCTGAAGGGCCCCTAGAACATGCCATGACTATAGAGAAGGAAGCATTTTATCCCCGTGATTTCTTTAAGCAGAGAAACACCCAATTGATTGGGCCGCCTAAGTGTGAAATCATTTGCACAGCGGGCCTGCGGGGGTCAGCCACGGGCTCCCCAGGCCCAGATCAGGCCCAGATCAGGCCCAGCCACCCATAATCACTGCCTCTCCTCTCAGACTTAGTTCATTAGTGTGCACAGCGCTGGTAGGGAAGGGCACCAAACTGCCTCATGCCTGCGAATTAATTGTGTGCTCACAGATTAGCAGAAACATCCACTTCGGCTCTGGAATCTTCCTTCTGACAACCATGGACATCCAGGCCTGGCTTCTGCGATCTTCAGACTAAAAATGAGACAAAATAGGGATGAGTGAATCAGAGCTAGACTTGGACTACCAAAGAGCTAGCTGTGTGACTCAGGACTATTTACTTAACCTCTCTGAGCGTCATTTCCCTGTCTGTAAAATGGGAATACAACCTCCTAGGTACCTACTAGTACCTCTTAGGGTTGTTGTGAGGACTAAATGACATAAGGCATGTACAGCAATTGACACAGCGCATGTCACGTGGTATGTACTCAATAAATTTCAGATATGGTCACCAGCATCAGCTTCTTCATTATGCCTCTAAATTTGACCTCAAGACCCTTTGAGTAGAAGGAGCCTTCCCTGTATCCTGCTTATTATCTGGGAGGGTTGGTTAAGGTAAGTAACCACTGCCATGAGCACTTTGGAGAAATGTCTCTCCTAGAGTTCTTTTCATGGGGATCCAAAACAGCTTTGCAGAAAATGGGCTCTCATAGCCAATGAGACTATACGTCACTGGAGGTGTCCTAGCAGGAGATCACTTATGACCTGGGATAGGAGGATTTAGCATGGCCAAGGGCATCTGAGCTCCCTTCTTCCTACCCCCTACACTCCGTGTGACTCTGGGAATGGTAGCTCTGCATAAAAGTATCAGCCCATTGGGGCCATTGCTCTTTTTTCCATTCATTCATTTTTTTATTGAGTGCCTACTAATGCTGCACTAGGTACCGGGGAACTTCCCATGGAGCTCTACTTAGAGCAACTCTCCCAAATTGGAAATGTGAATGACAAGATGGCCCCAGGGAATGAAACTGGAAGAAATTGGGGAGAGATGGGGTTACTGTAAATACAGTGGGAGGGGGAGATCTGTCCTAGAAGGTGATATGGGGTCTGAGATAATGAGAAGACTCCAGCTAGCAAAGAACAGAACAAGATTCCAGGCAGAAAGAACAGCAAATACAAACAATCCCATGGGGTCAAGGAACAGAAATAAGGCCTTTGGGCTGACATAAGGCAGAACACCCTGATGAGGTCCAAGCCCTTCAGTGTCTTGATGGCCATGGCAAGGATATGGGATTTTACTCTGAAGTAGTGGGAAGCTACTGGAGAATTTAAGCAGGGGTGACCTCACTGGATTGACCCAGAGCAAGCATCTTCCAATATGGGACCTCCCTACGTCAATGTCTCTTTCCAATACAGAGAATGTTTCTGCAGGGAGAGCTCCTGGCTGATTGTTCTGCCAGGGAGGGAGAGGGGGATGTTGAACTGGTAGCTGCTGACAGATTAGGATCCTACAAGAACCCTCTAAAATCAGGCCCTCTGCCCATTTAGGAAATGCACTTTGCATGGACCAAATGTAGAAAGCGAAAATTGCTAATGAGTCATGGAAGTCAATGTAGAGGCCAGAATCCTGTTTTACAATGAAATGTGCTTTGAAATGCTGGGGATATATTCCCAACCGAGTCCTGAGTGTTTGGGAGGCTTTCAGCTCATGCGAGCTGCAATGAAGGTGGCCCTTATCAGTCTGCGCTGGAGCTGCCTTAATTAGACCCAGATTCTCTATCTTTAAATTGGTCTTACATCAAAGCTAGAGTTGTAATTGCAGGTGATGCATTTGTGAGCTGCATTGTCATGTAGAATACGGCTGCCATCAGGTAGTGTTGGGATTATTGAAAAGCAATTTGCAGGGAAGGTCTATGGGGGAAATACAGTTCACCTCACTAAGCCTAAGAAAAAAGAAAAAGAAAAAAAAGCAATAGATAGCTCCAGGTCTTGGGGAAAACATGTTTAACAAGAGCTATTTAAAAAAAAAAAAAGACCCTTCAGCATTTTACCACCTCTGTTTTGCATGCACATCTGGCGTAAGGCTCTGAGACACATGGCTGTTAAGGGCCATGTTGTTAGAGGTCATTGCTGGCCTGCATTCAGTACAGTCCTGGGAATTGCTTGTGGGGTTATAAGAGATTATCAGGAAAGTTCAGGAGGCAATTTTTGTGGCTACTCACCAATTGATTTCAGGTTTACAAGGTGCTCAGAGAAGATGCTTGACTTGATGTGTTTGTTTTGAAGGCAAGTTTTTTGTGTGGTCAGATGCCCAGTCTTAGGAGAACCTCTTCTTGTCAGTGAAGGAAGGTTGCCACTCAGGACCACATGGATGGGTTCCTAGATTTTGAGAAAGTGGGGGGATTTGTGAGTAGCTAAGTCTCGTGAGAGAGAAGAATATCTTAGAACTTAGAAAAGGCCACTCAAGTTAAAGGGTCATTCAACTTCCAAAGCAGAACTTCCAAAACTTTTGGATGAAACATCACAAAAGGAGACATGTTCATTTCATTATCCACTACTGGCATGCATTTCTTTGTGTATTAGGATATCCAAGAAGAGCGTGTAGGATCTAGTCAAAGAGAGGATTTCTGGGATTCTGCCTACTTAAGTGGGATGTAGCAAACTCCCCATACCCTGCTCTGATTGGACACAGTCGCTGCTGAATTAGGGTCCATGCATCAGATCTCCCAGAAAATGTCCAGAGAAACTTAAGAAACCCTCTACAATCTCTCCCACTTTTCCTTTATCATCATTCCAGGAGCTACTTTGTTGGTCATGATACACGAAATCGTTTATCATGACCAACTCTGATCCTTGGGGTCATTAATGGAATTGTAGTGTCTACAGCCCACCCAAACAACTGGTCACTTCTGGGGGTGAGGTGGGGGTAGAGAGCAGGAGGCAGCCACCTGTCAAAGGTATGGAAACAACTCCTTTATGTGGCTGAATTTTTTTCACATTTCATCTGTCCTGGTCCCTGGGGAGGCAGGCAACCTCTTGCCTCTTAGATTGGAATAATGTTCCTGGGCATGAAGGCAGTTTTATCTCTGAAGAGTTTAGGCTTTGGGAAGGCGCGGGGGGGCCGCGGGGGGAGGGGGGGGGTCAAGTTAGTCACCAAGGGCAGGGAATCCAGGCCTTCACTCCAAACCACATTCACTTTTCTAATCGAACTGGCTCATATGATTCCAATTATTTTTCCATCGTCTCTGAGGGCAGCAGGCCATGGGGTAGGCTGATGACCTGTGAAATTTCAATTTAAAGAATGAAACTGGTTTTGATTTATTAAAAAGCCAGCCATTCCTCTGGTTCTGTGTGGATGTAGAGAAGGCAAGAAGAGCTGCCAAAGGCTGGGTGACATCTGATGAACCCCGTCTCCCAGCCTTGGCAGCCCCTCAGGCCAAGTCTCTATGCCCAGGGCGTGCGGAGAACTCTCTTCTGACTTGCTGGGGAGGTGGCCGGCAGCCACAGAGCCACATGTGGCTTCCCGACAATGTTGCATGCATGCAACCTACATGGGGCGGTGTGAGGCCCGTCACCATAGGCGTCCTTGAAGATGCAGGTTTGTCAGAGCAGAAGTGACTGGGTGAGTGTCTGTCCACTGTGCTTGACCTTCACCCCTTGCTTCCTTCCTCTCCTTTTCCTGGTTGATGTTGTTGAATATGGTGTCTGTGGGTTTCTAGGTTGGTGTGTAGCTACCAAGAGCTGCTGCACTTGGTAGAACTTTCTTCTTTGTTCTCTCGAACTCCTGCATTGACTCGTCGATGAAATAATCCTCATGGCCTCTAATTTCTTTTCACCCTCCCCATGGGAACTGACCAGTTTTTTGATTAAATGGACTCAGTGTATGCATACATCCATCAACATGGATGGATCTTAAAAATATGATCCCAAGTTTTTTAAAAAAAAGAAAAGAAAAGCAATTTTCAGGGAGTTAGATAAGACGCTGTGATGTACAGAAATTAAACATAGATGTATGCCCGGTTTGGCTCAGTGGATAGAGCGTCGACCTGTGGACTAAAGGGTCCCAGGTTCGATTCCAGTCAAGGGCACATGCCCAGATTGTGGACTCGATCCCCAGTGGGGAGCGTGCAGGAGACAGCCAATCAATGATTCTCTCTCATCATTGATGTCTCTATCTCTCTCTCCCTCTCCCTTCCTCTGTGAAATTAATAAAAAAATATTTTTAAAAAACATAGATGCACATGGAAAACAAAAAGGTCACATTAAACAATGAGAAGAGCTGCCTATGGGAGGAGAGCAATGGAAATGGAAAATATGGATCAAATGAAAGAACTAAAATGAATGAATCAATCAATCTATCAACAATGATAATGTGCTCTGAGCTGAAGAGTGTGATTATCTTTACACACTATCCTTCGAGTAAAGGATATAACAAAAAGCAATGTAACCTTGGTAATCTCCTAATGCTAGACCTGAGGCTCAGGACCCAAGTGGTGCCGTGGCACCAAGATGACCAGCTCAACCTGAGTCCTTCCATGTCATGGCTTCACATCCAGATGCAAGGGACCCTCCATGAGAAGACAGGAGCCATGCTCCCCGGGCACACACCTTCCAGAGGAGAAAGCACCAGAGGGGGCTGCTTTCTCCTCTCTGACTGTGGCCCCTTCTCTCCCACCTTGTTATGGGGCCAGCAGCAGGCTGAGTGTCATTTTCACCATCTGTAAATGGCGTGATGCCAGTACCCCTTATAAGGCTGTTGTAAAGAACGAATGTATAAATGTCTGCTCGGCTCTCGGCATAGTGCCTGACTCACGGTAAATGCTTGCTGTTATGATCATAATCATAAGAATACTTGCTAAGAATAAGAACAACGAACATTAGTAATAATGATAATAATAAATCATAGGGAGCATTTTCCTCGTTCTTGTGTATGCCTTGCTCAGAAGGTCCGTTTTTTTGGAATTATTCTAAAGACCCTAGTGTCCAGCTCAATAACACAAAATCAATAAAAATGAAATTTTCCAAGATTTCTGTTATCTCTCAAGTCTCCTGAGGATCCTCCAAGGCTGGGCCACAGGAAAGGAAGCCCTGGCAGTCATATCAGACATTTCAGTGCAAGTGATCTGAGTCCAGAATCTCAGCCAGAAGGACAAGTTGGAGAGAGACAAGGCTAGCGAAGCTGAGGATGAGGCAAGACTAGCTGGTGACCGGACGGCATGTGGGGGCTGCCTGCTCATTCCTAATGGTGTCTTAGAGGTTTTAATTGTCCAAAGTACTTCAATCCCTGCTATCTCATTTGCGTCTATGACACTCTCCTGAGGAGGTGTAGAATTCCCATTTTACAGATGGGAAAACTGAGATCTAGAGTGTCCCAAGCCCAGGATGAACATTAGTTGTAGACCTGAGCCTAGAACTCAGGTATACTGACTCTCAACCAGGGCATTATATAGTGACTAGTGGCCCGGTGCACAGATTTATGCACATTGAAAGGAAATGAATTAAAAGAAATATTTTAATATTGCTATTCGCCCTTTCTCTATAATAGAAATGTCAACAAAAACAACCAAATTCATAATCGACGATGACAGATCGAAACACACACATGCTATTGGTGCCAATGAGAGCTTTATATGTATCACGCATGCAAAAGTCATCGTATATTTTTAAATTGCCAGTGCATGTCATATGTACCAGGTGGTCGGTCCGATGGTCAGACGGCCTTTTATATATATATATATATATATAGATAATGATGATAACAATAATGGCAATTGTTACTCGCAAGTGTCTATATTAGCCAGGCACTTTTTTAGGGATATTTATATTTCGTCTGATTTTTGCAATAGGCCTATGTTGCCGATGCTGTTAGTCCTCATTTTAGAAACTAAACAGCTAAGGCACAGAGAGATTAAGTAACCTCCCTAAGGTTGCACAGCCTGGAAGTGGTCAAGGCAGGGCATGAGCCTGGGTTTGCATCACTCCTTTTACTATCTTTTGCTGCTGTGCTACTGCCTTGAGGACCAGGCTCTGCTGCTTTGGGTCCTCTCAAGACAAGAAACACCTACAGACCCAAGGGTGGGTTAGTGCCCACCCCTTAATCCCAAGATTAAGGAACAAAGTCTTGTGCCATTGGGCTCTGGAGGGAGAGGTGGCTATGGTTTCTGTAGCAAAGGACTCTTCTGAACTTGAAGCCCTGGCCAACCACAGATCTCTCTGCTGTACACAGGACTCATCCCACGTTTTCCTGGGGGCCTAGGGAACTTTTCAGAGTGCCAGTACCTTATTCAATGCCTGGTGCCCCTTTTGTTGACTATCTGGGGTTCACTGGAGTTCAGCCTGCCACTGAGGCCTCTCCCGCCACCAAGCATATTTTTACTTGGCATCTGCTCGTTACTGGAAAGTCCTTGTGGTAGAAAGAGGGATGTGGACTGGGATTGACAATGGATAAAATTTAGAGCATCAGGAGGACGGGGAAAGAGTGCTAAAAGAGGAAAGTGGTGCTGGGGAAGGGCGAGGTGTGATGGGGTTAGAATGGACACCAAGTTTGGCTGGAAGGGAAGAGGAGATGAGCCAGAAGGTAGGCCTAGAATGCCAAGAAGTGCTTTAGATTTTTTACTTTCTTTGCATTTCCCAAAGCCTGTGCAGTGGAACTCCGGGTAAGTGCCATGCTAAGAGGGGCTCTGGGAGGAGAAAAGTCTGATCAAATAACTCTTGGAAACACTGGGTTAAATTCAATGAAATGCTTTTCTGTACTGCAGGATTTATCAGAGCCTTTATAATAAAAATGTATACTGTGAATCTTCACTGGGGGAGGATAATGCATGAGCATTTCCAAAATTTATTCTATCAATGAACCCATTTTTTTCAAGGTGAAGTTTATGGGATTAGTTTAACTGAGCAGTCTGAAATTGCTTTCCCATGAGTGATTTGGGAAGGGAGCCACTGAAAAAGCAATCCAGTGTTGGTTTGCTGTGAGGCCTGCATCAGCCCCTACCCTCCTCAAACCCTTACCATGGCTCCCTTAACCCCTACTGATGAAGGCTGAGTTCTATGCTTAGTTTTACCAACCTTGGGAATACTTCTGCTTGGTAAACTGCAGTAGGACTCCAATCCTTGACATGTGGGCCTTTACAGGAACCAGGGCACTGACTCTCATTCCAATTTTGAAATTACTATACCAGTCAATGGTTCTAAAACACTTTGAGGTCACGAATCCATTTGGAAATGTGCTGGACGCTATGAACTCTGTTCCCAAGCCAGGGCGGGGAGAGTGGGGGAGTCATAGGATCATAATACGCAAACAATATTAAGGGATTTTCCAAACCTTTTGAGACCTATCTAATGGAATACCTTCATGCACACACATTGGCCCACTAGTTCTTCTGTTGGGTCAGCACCAAAGTTCTTAGTGCTGCTTTCATTTGGATGCTTAGGTAGACAGCCCAATTGGCCCACTCACAAAATTGGCCTCGTGGCCCATGTATGACCTTTTTGCCTGGGGAATTATACAGACTGGCCAGCTGGAAGCTATTTTCTGGGGTGGTATTGGGAAGAAGCATGGAGAGACTTCTAAACTTGTTTTTAATTTAACATCTTCACCTTTGTTTGGAAGCAGAGAGGAGACAGATGGAACAGTCCATCCAAGAGATGTCTGTGCTTCTTTCAACTTCTAAATTTGGATGGGATGGGTCACCGAGCTGCTTGTGTTGAAGGAAATCAAGCCAAGCCAGTCATCCTGGGACCCCATGGCTGACTTCATGCTTTATTTAGATGAACACTGAGCTTTGCTCTAGAGTGATGGTCTGATGTATGGAGAAGCTTTAATGTGGAGTCTGTCCTGGAGATCCCAGTAGGACACATTTTTCCAAAATGCTTTTCTTCAAGGTCACTTTGAAGATATTTTTTAAAGTATATTGTTTCTTGAAGAGCTGGGACAGGCCTGGTAGCCACCCTCTCTCTGTTTTCCACTTCCCCAATGTCTGTGAGCCTGACTGTTTTCTCTCTCTTTCATTTCAACCTTCTTGTGTCGTTTTATTTTAGGTATTGCTCCTAAGTACCAAAAAGCCAGTTTATAGAGTATTTAAAAAATATAATCTGAAAGTCTTTAGCTTTTAATGTGTGGCTTTGACTCATTCATATTTATTGTGATCACTCAGCTGCTTGGATTTACTGAAACCATTTTCTTTTGTGTTGGTTTTTTTTAATCATATATTTCTATCTCCTCAACTTGCTTTGCATTGAACATAAGGAATGAGAGAATACATTCGGTTGCCTTTTGTCTCATACAAAGGCTACCCATGAGTGCTTCCTTGAACTCCTTAGGAAAGCCTGTCCTTTCTATCCTGAGCATCTCAAGCTCTTTATTTCTCCAAGGCCTGCAGATCTAAGAAAGGAAAACCTGGGTACTAAGCCAAGAAGAGGATGATGTGTTGCACCCTTGGTCTTTCTTCCCTTATAGAAATAGGGGGAATGGGTAAGGGATGAGATCAGAAAGAACAAGAAGCAGAGAAGGTAGCAGCAACTCGCTTTGAGATCTACCAGATGGAGCCAGATAAAGCTTCACAAGCTCAATGGTAGGATTTGGTTCACCAGCTGGGGACCCTGCTTTGGTGACAGAGGGGCTTTAGCCTTCTCCATCCATATGACCGGTAACTCTGCCCTTGCCCTCAGCATCAGCTTTTCTCTCCCAAGACTATGGCTAATGCCCCGGTACTTGGAATACAATCCCATAGCCTTCTGATGTCAGCAACTGCTTTGGTTTCCAGAAGACTCGGCCAGCCCACAGCTCTGCCCGAATCTCCAATGGTTGGCTCAATAGATCAGTGGCCACACACTTGCCCTGAATTTGGCTGGGCTTTGGGAGCAAGCGGTCAGGCCTATGCTGAACAGAGTGTGCGCGCGCGTGTGTGTGTGTGTGTGTGTGTGTGTGTGTGTGTGTGTCCCAGCCTGAAGCTCTTAAAGCAGGGCCTAAAAGGCGCAGCCCATAATAAACAGTTGTAAATTGTTCCATTCTTGTTCCTCTAGCCAGAGGGCAAGTGTTTCTACAGTTCTTTTTAACTTTATTTTTATTGTTGACTCCATTACAGATATCCCTATTTGCCTCCCCTGCTTTGCTGACCTCCATCCAGCCTCTGTCCCCGCTTTCCTCTGGCCATCACCATACTGTTGTCTGTGTCTATGGGTTATGCATGTATATTCTTTGGCTAATGGAGGAGAAAGTGTCCTGATGCCCTTTAATAGCCTGGGTGCTCCTCCCTACTCTGGAAGACCTATGCACACATAGATAAATACAATGGACAGCATGAGGCAGAAGTCTGAAGCAGGGCCAGGAGACCAGGGTCACTGAACTTGCTTATGTTGAGGAGAACCAAGCTAAGTTAGTCATCCTGAGACCCTATGGCTGACTTCAGGCTTATTCAGGTGGACACTGAGCTTTGTTCTAGAGCAATGGTTCTCAACCTGTGGGTCGCGACCGCTTGGGGGTCGAACGACCCTTTCACAGGGGTCGCCTAAGACCATCGGAAAACACATATATAATTACATATTGTTTTTTTGATTAATAACTATGCTTTAACTATGTTCAATTTGTAACAATGAAATTGGGGTCACTACAACATGAGGAACTGTATTAAAGGGTCGTGGCATTAGGAAGGTTGAGAACCACTACTCTAGAGTGATGGACTGAGGCAGTGGCTGGCTCCAAGCTGGGTTGGCCAAATCATAGACTATACACAGGCTGGGCCAAGGGGAGCCTTCACAGCCTCCACACATTGGCTTCAGTTGGGCCAGCCAGAGGGCAAGGCCCAGGATGCAATTTAATGCAAATGACTCAAGACAAGGATTTCTGCTAAAATGACAGTAGGGGGCACAATGGTGTATAAAAACAGTCCTCTAATCTTCAGAATATATGGTATGTGGGGAGTGAGGCATATACATGGACAGTAGAAACAATAGGGGAGCACAGGCCAAGGGAACATCATTGGAAGTGGGTTCTGTGAGCTTTGGAAGTCTGAGAAGGCATACAGAGAATGTATACAGAGAATGGTTAGGATGCCAGGCTTTGGTGCCCCTCTGGGCTTGAATTTCTCTTCTGTTTCTGTTTATAGGTTACGTGACCTTTCATAAGTCATTTTCTTCACCTATAACCCTACCTTGTAGGATTTTGTGATCTTTAAATGAAGTGATATGTGTGAAGTGCTTTGCACTAGGCAGGACATGTAGTAAGTGCTCAATAAATGAATTATTAGTCCTAGAGTAAGTGGTCATTTCAAGGTGTCTAAAGGAAGAGAGAAAGAGCTAGAACAATCAGAGCAAGAAGAGCAAAGAGCATAAAAACAAATTTAAGAAATGGCTTGCCCAGAATTTGGGGGGGGTTGTTCATATGTACAATTAATATTAAGTTATCATTGGCCAGGCAGCATGGAATACAATGGTGAACTAGGCAAAAGTAACCCCTGCTCTTAACTGCCCATTGTGGAGGAAGAATTTGGGAAGGGATCAAAACATTTTGCCTAATCCAAGATGATATTTACGTCAAAGCTGTGCGCTTTGGGATGGAGAGGACACACAATGCACCTTATGTTCACCATGAAATATCTTTGAAAATCTCACCTTCAAAACTTTATTCCTAGCAACTCTGCCATGCAGAGCATTCTATGCAATTAACTGACAACATGGAACTTGCTGGAACTCCCAGAAAGTCCTACAACTTTGAACATTAATTACCATCTAATGGGGGGGAGGGGGAGCACCTAACCTGCAGAATGGTGGATAATGAGGCTGATACCCCAGTATCCATCTGCTCCTCCCCTGAGTAAGAGCAGTGCTGTTTTGTGATTTGACCACAGTTCTAAGGGTAATCCCATCCTTCTAGCAAGTGATAGGTTCAGGAACAAGCATGTGACTCAATTGATGATAGTGCAATATAGGAAGAGATGGACTGGAGGCTTCTAAGAAGATCTTAATGGAGAATATCTAGAGAGTCTCCTGGTAGACATGAGAAGCAAAGCACTTCACCCTGATTGCCATTGCCAGCCGTATTGCAATCATGAGGGAAGCCTGCCCTACGATGATGCCAACTCCATGAGTGGTCAAAGGAAAGACAGGAAGTACATGGGTCCTTCATGATCTAGTTAATGGGCCAGAACCAACTTAAAAGCCCAACTAACTCTAGACTTTCTGCACTTGGTATATAACATTCTTTAGTATTCAGGCCTGTTTGAATGGAGTTACCTATTATTTGCACTCTACCACATCCTAATGGGCACACTTGATAAAAGAGAACCAGGAATTCATTCAAATGATTCTATCTCTAGTTGGCTTTGTCAGGGCTTTGGTCCTCCTCAGAGGGAACACACTCAGCTAAGCCCAATTCCTGCTCATCGGACAGCCTCTAGGACGCTCCCAGGAGCACCCAGTCTTGTGTAGATAAAACCTTACAGGAAACGCAAATTGTGGTGATATCAACCTTTTGGATTAAGTCAGGTTTAATAATAGCAGGCTCTTTCCCAGAGCTTGCTGTGCATCAGGGACATATCTCAGCAGTTTACATACTTTATTTATTCTTCTAATCAGCCCATGAAGTGGCTCTTGCCATTATCTACATTTTGGGGGGAAACTGAGATCAGAGACATTAAGTAAGTTGTCCAGAGATGCACCGCTAATGAGTGGCTGACGATAGATTCAAAATCAAGTAGTTTGGCTTCAGAGTCTGAATTATTTCTCATTTGAGGTGGTTCTACGATCCACAGATAAAAAGTATATAAGGGAAGACGCAGAAATGAGCAACTAAAACAGAACGCATTTGAAATCATAAAATGGGAAAAACACACCTTTAAGATTTCATCCACCTCCAGGGGAGCCACAGCCGGCTTTGGAGAACAGTGTCAGTTTCAGGCAGTTATTCATGTTCCTCTTGCCAGCATCTCACGTCTTCATAACTTCATCTTTCCATCATTTCTCTATGACCATCTCTCTTTTCATCTCCTCATCTGTGTTAAGAACGAGTGAATTAATAATCTACTATCAAACAAATTCTACAACTTCTGACCACGGTTACCTTGGTAAAAATTTTATATTTTTACCTACCACAGAGGCAAAAAAAAAAGAAAAAAGAAAATTCTTATGTGAAAAGGAAGCCCCATGTGATCCTTCCACTCCTCTGCCAAATGGCTCAGGCTCGCCCCACCTTTTTTAATTTTGCAAAGCATTTGTGTGTGTCTTCAATGGAACACGGACAAGCCGGATCATGGGAGGGGAATCTGGCTTGGCTGTGGGGTGGGCTGCAGGTGGTTGGCGAGGCTGGCCAATGGGAGAGACTTCTTGGAACAAGCCTGACAAGTAACCGCTGGCCCAAGCCGAGGGCCTCATCTCCCTCCAGCTCAGGCCCCAGGTCACCAAAAGGAAATGCATTTAATTTTCAAATCCCTCCCGGAGCCAAAGAGAATTCCAGCAAAACAGCCATAAACATTGAAAGAGTCTCGTCTGATTTAGGAAAACATTCCACTGGATTTAAAATGAAATATCCTGTGACTAATCTCATGTAAGACTGGGAACGGGGCTAACTGTTCACGCTGGTGGTCAGCGAGGGGACTCCGGGGGGAGGCCTTGTCCCTCCCACGCACCACTGTGGGAGCAGCAATAAATCAGCCGGGACCGAGTTTTCAAACGAGGATTGGGAAGGGCTCGCTGTTTGATCCTCGAGACCCCTTCTTCCCAATTTGTCACTGATTTCCCATCAAGAAGAGTTTGTGAAACTGAATCCCCCATGCAATTCTGGCACATTGTAAGCCAGTAAATAAAACCCAAATGTTAATTCTTCTGAGCACGGCGTTCCCTGCCAAGAAGTGAATAATGCTCTGTGAAGGAAACAGCATCATGCATCCTTGGATGAGGAACAAGAAACAGTGGGGCAGAGCTGGGGAGCAGGGAGTTGTGAGGCAAGGAATGAAACCAGAAAGGGAGATGCAAAGAGGAGAGGCAGAAGGAACAAAAGTGCCTTGGAAGATAGTTGCCCTGTCTCCCTGACTTGAGCTCCTGAAGGCCAGCACCAGGCACCGACAGTAACAAATCATTTGGTTCCATGTGCCTGAACAGTAAGGAGTACCTTCCACATGCATTCATTTCCTCCTCACAAGACCCTAGGAGGCAGGTTCTTCTGTTATCCCCACTTACAGATGGAGAAACTGAGGCTCAGAGAAGTTAAACAACTTGCCCCACAGGACAGAGAAGGGCTGGGGCACTTGGTGGGTATCAGAGCCGACGCAGCCCCATGGTGCTGTCCGCCCCAGAGGAGAGGCGGGAAGTGTGGGTGGAGTGACCAACCACCCCTGTGTGCCAGGACTGAAGGGACTCTGACAGGCAGGTCTTCCAGGTAACACCAGGAACGTCCCAGCCAAACTGGGACCAGTTGGTCACCCTGTGTATGGGTGGTCTGACCAAGTGACCTCCTTAGGTGTTTATGTCAAGAGCTTCTGCAGAAAAACAGACATTGGTGCCTGTAGCTCTGTCTCTATAATACGAAGTACCAGCATCCTATTTCTTGCCTATAGGGCACCCCCCCAAAATACTCTCCCGACACATGACAAGCTAAGGAAGGAATAACAATGACACATGCTACTGTTGCTGAAAAGACCAAAAGTTCCCCTTGGAACCATCTCCCAGCAAAGACAGGAGGACATCGTCTTAAATTCTAGCTCCACAAAGTCTGTAAGTAAATTATGATTTTCCTTATTTATGAACCACCAGGTCATTTTAAAGGTACAGAGGGACTCTTTCTGCTCACCATTGGAATGGTGGAAGGCAGAAGACAGAATTCCTAAGCAGGGGGCCCCCTTCTCATTTCTGGGCCTCACTCTATCAGCAGGGACCTCTCGCATGTGAATGATGCTAAAATTAAGCCTCTGTCTCCTTAAGGAGTCGAGTCAATCTTGGAATCCATCCAATACCAATAGTTCCTACAACAAACAGAGCCGCGCATTTCCAAACAGAGTTTTCACATATGTTATCTGACTTCAGCTCCTGGAGAGCCCATGAAACAGACAGGGCAGATGGGACGAGTTTCATGCTCCATGGTCCATGATTGGGGCGGGGGGAGGGGCGAGTTTGGAAAAAGTAAGCAATTTATGGAAGATCATACCTTTAGGGAGGGGCTGAGTTGGAAATCAGATCCACACCTTTTGAAGCCACATTCTACATGCTCTTCCCAGCACCTTATTCTTTTTAGAGTGGAAGGAGGGAGGGAAGGGTAGAGAGAGAGAGTATGTGAGAGAGACACATTGATGGGTTGCCTCCTGCACATGCCCTGATCAGGCCAGGGATCAAACCTACAACCCAGCTGCATGCCCTTGACCAGGAATTGAACCCTTGACCCTTCGGTGCATGGGCCGACACTCTAACTATTGAGCCAATATCTCTATATTTCCAAAACGGATCGCGGTGCCTGGCACACAGTAGGTAATCGCCTCCCCACCTTGAGCAGAGGGGGCAAGGGAAAGACCTGGCTGCAACACGGACTACACTGAGGTTTGAATCCTAGCTCCACCACCTACCTGTGAAACGCAGGCAGGTCATTTCACCTTTGAGCCATCAGACCCTTCCCAGGCAGAAGTGCAGGTGAAAACACCCTCAGAGCTGGGAGAGCTGCGACCATAGCCGAGAAGGGCTTGGCACAGACTGATTCCAGGTCCCGGGATTCCGGGCACTTCCTTAGCCCAGCCTGCTGGTGGAAATGGTGACCCGAGGCACCAGGCTCTAATCTCTGGGGGCAGGCACTGGACCAGATGCTTTCTGACCTCTGTCATGTTTAACTCACCTCTCCCACCCAAATGAGAGGGAATGCTCTCCCCAGTCAACACATTCCTAGTGTGGTTGGTGACTCCTTCCGTCTGCGCCTGGGGCCAAGCCACAGGTGATAATTAGCTCTCAGAAAGTGGAAGGTATTAACTCCAGCATCTTGAGTCCATTCCAATTGAGATAATTAAGTAAAGCGCCCACAGGTGGATCCAGTTAATGAGGCATTGCCTGGGTTGCCACTGAGCCTGGCAGGCAGCAGGCATGGAGCTGGGGCGAGAGCTGAGCATGGATGACTAAGCCTTGGGCATAACTAAAAGCACAGAGCACGACCCTCTTCTCAGCCCTGGGTGTGTTCCTGCCCAACGTCCCCCCGGGGAACGTGGGTGTGCTGGGCTGGGAGTCCAGGACATGTGCTCCAGGCTGGGTCCTGCCACCGGCTTAATGCATAACCTGGAGCAAGTATCTTCCCTGCCCCAGCTCAGTCTCAATTGTAAAATGAAGGAAACAGTTAAGGGGGCAGCTCACAAAACCGAACAAAGATCTTGGGCACCACTGGACTCCGTCTCGTTCTCTCCTCCTTCCCGCACTGTCATTGCTGGTTTCCGCTGCTCTCTCCTTGGCCTCACGCTGTCCTCCAGCCTTGTCCCCACTTCCTTTCACAGCGTCAGCATCCTCCTATTCACAGCCTTTCAGTGATAGCATAGGAGGTGGGCCAAGTAGGACTTCCTCCTGGTTTCAATTTTGTAAATCCTCCGGGAGGACCTGATTGGTCCAGCTTAGGTTACAGGTTCACCTTGTGACTGATCACTGTGGCTTGGGGTCGGGGGGGAAAAGGGGGTGTGTGGGGGTGGGGGGACAAAAGCATGCACTAATCCAGAGGCAAATCTATTGAGCTATCACCAGAAGCCACCAGCATGGGAATCTTGCACGGTGACAAAGATGTCCCACATGATGACTCTTCCCTCCTCTAAGAAGCAGATTGTGTTCCTTTGTGTGTGTGTGTGTTAGTGCCCTGGAATGGGAATATATATTTCCTGACAGAAATAATGCTAGGAATGGTGTTTATTCTTCCAGACCCGTCTAAGAAGAGGTTGCCTGGGGCCTACATTTTCTCTGTGAAAAATGGAGAATAATAATGGCACCCGCTCATGGGTTGTTGAAGTAAAGAATTCAGTTAGACTCTGTTGGTAGCACACTGCCTGGGCAGCAGTAAGAACTCAATGAACAGGAGCCATTATTATTACAAAGTGATATACCCCTTGTATGTGCTTTAAAAAAATAGTGAGAAAGGTCCCTTATAAAGAAACAAGGGGCCAATTGACCTCTGATGCAAATATACTTATTTTCTTTGTCTCAAGCATTGGTGGGTGTGAAAAGGTGGGATGAGTTAAAGGATAGAGAGAAGATGGTGATGTGAATCTTGGGAGTACTTTTAAGGACCTCAAACAGTGACTGTGCTCTTTGTGGCTAATTTTGCTAGTCACTTTCTAGTTCCTTTCCTGTCACTGACTCCTTGCTTTTCAGTGGTGTTTGAGACTTGTTAAGGGAAAGGGGAGGGGTTCAAAAATAGAACCAAGGGGAAGAAAAAGACAAGAAGATGGAAATAAAGGTTTCCTTGATGGGCCGGAAAAAGAGTGATACAGACAGGGATGAAGAAAGAATAGAATAACTATTAGAATAGTTAACAGTCACTAGTAGAACAGTTACTGTTTTGACCTGTGAGACAAAGAACAGGCTGAGATGAAATGGAGTTCCATGAGGTGGAAGGCAGAGCAGGGATCTGGGACATGTGTCATTTGTAAGGAGACGGGTCGGAAGGGCATGTGAGGGGTTTTTGGTTCTGCGCCCAAATGGTATAGAAGGCCAAGAATAGTTTTATTGGTTCTTGAGGTTCTCAAGGATGGTACATCTCAAGGGGGAGGCAGCAGCTATATTTAACTGAGCCTTTCTTTGTGTTGTATGCTCATGTTCCCTGCTTTGCTCCCATGAATGTCCTGTCTGCAACATACTCTGTCTTATTCACCATAGTGCTTGGTACCATGCTAAGTCCCCAATAGGTGATCCATACCATTGGAGGCAATGAGTGTTCACAAATCAAAGTTGCTCCTAACAATTCTCTCTGCAGATCAATCGAGGTGCTCCTAATACTGATACAGTGGGACATCCTAA